CCAGCCGCGTGAGGTCATCCCTCCGGGCCTCATCCCCACCAGGTAAGCCATCTTCGGTCCCATCTCGCTTCATGACCACTCGGCTGATGGCGCGCTCGAGGGTGGCCGCACTCTGCATCCACACGTGGTTCGCCTTGGGGTCCAGCTTCGTCAAGTAGTACAAAAACGACTCGTACTTTCTCTCCTCCATCGCCGGCAGAGGCGCCTCATCTTCCGCAGGCGAGCCCCCGGCTTCACCGTCGACAATGAAAGAAAAAAAAAGACGTTTTTTAAATATTTTTGACCGCGTATGCCTTGCCGTAGCGAGCGCCAGCACGTGGCGAGATGGTCGAGTGGTCTAAGACGTTGGATTAAGGTTCCAATCCTTCCGAGGGCGTGGGTTCAAACCCCACTCTCGTCAGCTTTTTCACATCTTGTGAGTTTTTCCTCCATCATACATATAATTCACTCATTTCTTGTTAAACTTCTCTTTACTTTGTTTTTACCATCGCCCGCCGTGTCGCATGCCCAGCTAGGCGCGCCGCACCGGCAAAAATAATAATAAAAATAAAAGAAATGAAAGAGAGAGCCCGCTCAGCGCATTCCCCAGAACGGCGAACGGCGAGAATGCAGCGGAGAAGCCGCGTGGCGCGGGCGTTGCGCTGCAGGGGTTGCGGTTCTCATCTGGCGGTGGAACGGGGCTCGGGACGCTCCCCGCGCCGGTCAGAGAGAGAAGCGCTAGGAAGGTCTTCAAGTGTGTGCTGCGCGACACCAAAATCAAAGGGACGGGGCAGGAGGAGCAGCCGAATGCCGTGTTAAGCGCGCTGCGGAGTGGCGGCCAGTTCGCTTGCAAGCTCTCCTAAAAGTTCGGATCGTCTGGGTGAGGCTGGTTCCAAGTGCCGTCGTTTTGTCTTTAATGGCGTTTGTTGCCGGGCGACGTCCACGTCGTCCACGGCGTCCTGCACGAGTGAGGAAGACTTTCTTCAGACGACTCGGCGAAAACTGTGGGTGCGTGTTTGTTCTGGAGCAATTCTTTTTTTCAAAATCTGTTTCAAAGCATTCCGCGAAGTCCTTTTTTTTTGTAATGCGTATAGCTTTTAAGGATTGAGCAAAGAATACAAGCGACGAGCAACGCTTAAAAAAAAAATTGCTATTCTGATATAGATTTCAAGGGGTTGTTCTATGAACGTGGATACGACAAACTTTCCTTTGATTTTTGAGGATTTCAAAAAATCTCTGGAGGGATGTGACTTTTATGCCGTTGATCAAGAAATGACAGGCGTAAACTTCGAAGATCAGCATCGGTCACGGCTCATGTCCTTGCCAGAACTTTACGAAGCAAGCCGGGAAGTCGTTCAGCGCTATGTGGCTTTTCAGTTTGGGATTGTTCTCTTTACTCTTTTGGAAGAGGGTCTCTACGAGGTGAAACCGTACAACTTCTATTTGCTGAAAAAAAATGGTGATTTTGTTGTAAATACTGAGGCAACCAGGTTTTTGGCCTCACATGGAATGGATTTTCAAAAATGGCTGGTTTCTGGATTGCATTACTGTAATAAGGCAGAAGAAGAACAAGCGATGGAGAAAAACTATCATGAATGTTCCAACATGGGGAAAAAAATTTCTTTCTATATTGTGGATAAAATCGAAAAGTGGTGGCTCGATCCTTCCAAGAAAGAAGAAGAATCAATATCTTTTAAGATGGTTATGACAGAAGAAATAAAGGCACTTGTCATGTTGACGCTTAAGCAGCGGGATATACATGTACAAATGGAGTACGATACCGCTTCCAAAATATATCAAGCTCCATCAGATATAACGGTGCGTCGAATTGTCTGTCACAAGGTGGATTCAAAAGAAATAAAACCGGTTTCTCATTGTCCTTCTAGTTCCTTGCCGTTATTGGGCTTTAGACAACTCTGGAAATGTATAACAAAATGCAAAAAGCCCCTTATTGGTCACAATTTTTGGTTAGACATAATGTTTATGATGCAGATGCATGAGGCCCCTCTTACTACCACGTACGAAGAATACAAAACTCAGGTTCACGAGTTATTTCCTTGCATTTACGATACTAAAACGCTTTCTAAATCCATGAGCTTTTCTACACCAAAGCGTTCATTACATTTGCAAGGTTTATACAAGGAGTGTTGCAGGCTAAATGAAAGATGTAAGACTTCAATTAGGTTTCAATCTCCTCCTGGTTTCCACTTCTATGATGAGAGGTATACGAAAAGTAGAGGAAAAGCACATGAGGCGGGATATGATGCATACATGACTGGTATTGTTTTTGCAATAATTAATGATGTATACAAGAATATTTATGGAATGGAAACTAGTAAGTGGGAAAATGTTGTTTCTGTATATGGAAGTAACTATTATATGAGCTTGATCGGCAAGGATTTTTTAGAGTTAAGGTCAACCTTTTTGCTGGAGTTTGAAGAGGACATGGATATGCGTTTGGTACAGTCTCTTATTTGCACGGAGGAGGACAGAGAACAGATCAAAAACAACAATGAGCCTATCTCTTTCCACTTGGACGTGGTGAGTAGCAAACGTGAGGATCAAGCTAAGACTTTTATTATTCGGTTTAAGGATGGAACTGTTGACGAAAAAATGCTGCAGACGCAAATAGATACATCAAGAGAGTGTTTGACCCACTCGTTGTACACAATGATGAATGAAGAAGACATAATATTTCCCCGTGTTAAGAGGATTTCTCGTTTCTCAGAGTAAAGAGAATAATTCTAAGACTTGTAAAAGCTAGAAATAATAAATATTTATGAAAAAGAGTAAGTTTTTTTTTTTGTATTGCCCGAGCGACTGTACG